GATCCTTTGATTAATCCTTGTTATACACAAAAACATACACACACCCCTACACCCCCACACCTTGTTTTACCATCCAAAGAAAACCTGCAAGCAGTCAGAATGCTTGTGTGCAGCCCTGTGCTGTAATGACATTCCTATTATGTTCCGCTCTAGTTGTGGTATTGTATAACCATCACTGCTCGAGCTTATGTCTTCATTCCTTCTTAGGTTACATGACCAATACTGAGATTAGGAACAGGATTTAAAATATGTCCACATACTGGTAATTTATCACACACACATTACACAAATAAATAAATAATACGCACATATATATCAACTTAATTGCTGCACATGTAAGTACCTGATTTCACATAATGAATATTTCAAGGAAGCCTATACCCAAATAGATATTAATTACTCTGTCTGAAGCAGAGGCCCCACTTTTCTCCTAAACATGCTACATTCAGTGGACTTTGGATTTATGCTGCTGCTCGTCACTGTGCTACCTAAACACTTTCTTTGCTTAATCAAAAACAAGAATGAAATCCCAAAAGGAGAGGTTTGGTGGTTTTTTTTGAGGGGGGGGATGGGGTTGTTAAGTGGGTTAGGTAGGATAGTTTTGGAGCAAGACTCAAAGAAAATTACCTTTGCAGATTTTATTTATATTTTTTTTAATTTATATTGTTTTATTTATACTGTTTTGGAGTCAAGGGATAAAAGCATTGCAAGTATTATTTTTGGAGAAAAAAATCCTGCTTAGATTACACAAGTGCAGCTAAGAGATGATTATTTTTTTCTGGTAGTGGGTTTGTACCACCACCCAGAGCTGGGTTTCTTCCCAGGTACTGACCCTTCTTCCTGGCTTGGCATATAAATATAATAATAATGGCCAGTCTAACAGCACAGGTACCAACGCTTCCTCTCAGGAGGAAATTCCAGCTTATACAGGGCCACCCTCGATTTCAGGGAAATTTTGTGTGATCTAGGACCACTACAAATTTCTGGTCATGACCACAGTAGGTCTGAAGAGGATGCAGCCTTGCAGGCTGGAGGTACATTAGATATAACAGCCCTGCTTGCGTTTTACCTTGTTAAAAGTACACCATTATTCTAAGTCCCAAGTAATTGCTAAACTGTTACACTTCAGCAAATTTCCATGAAAGATATACAAGTCCCCAGAGGTGTTCTGGCACAGGAGTGTTAAATGCAGCATCCTTATATTTTAAGTAGGTGATTCTTTGCTACATAAATGTCCCAGCCTGCTGTATGCACAAAGGTAAGATGACCCTCTGGAGACATTAACAGCCTTTTTACCTCCTCTGTGCCTTATTCACAGGCAGGCAGCATCCTACCTCCTCACTCCAGCCCTGATTTGCTTATTTGTGTTTATGGTACACAAGGCAGTAGAAAAAAAAAAAAAAGGAGTTTTAGACACTTTTTGTTCTTAGCTAAAGCTTTTAGTTACACATTAGGGAACAGAAGTGTGGTACGACCCTCTGTTTATTTGTGGTTCTTTTAAGTGATGTCCAGAGACCTACATTTCATGGTTGTTTGAAAGTTTATATAACAGTGGGAAGCTGTTAAACAGCAGTTTACCTTCACTTTTTTCTTTTTTTTCATCATGTAAAGGATTTAAATTAACACTCATTCCACCGTATTACTTTAGATATTAGTCAACATTTTCAGAGTTTTCTTTTTCTTTAGAATCTGTATTTCCTGTAAGTAATGATAAGAGGTTTCATGTCAACAAATTTAAAATCTATTTGATAACTATACACTTTAAAATAGTCCTTGAAACTTTCACAAATAATTGCTGTTCATCTGTCTGAAAAAAAAAAAAAATTGTGATTAAAAAGAAAAATCTACATTCTTCACATTAAACCTATAAACAAGGCAAAAAGTTCTTCCAAAAAGAAATCTTTTCTTTTTTACTTCCTTGCATTCTACTGAGTAATGCGTAATTCAATCTTTTAAATAAACTGGATATGGTTTTTTTTAAATGTTCACAACGTTCTTGCACGTCTCCCAGTTCCTAAAAATTTGTCATGTTCAAACACCCTTAGGATCTCTCTAACACTACAATGCATTCAAGAAATAAGATTTTATTTCGTATGTCCAAAATCTCCCTTTTTTTCTTTTTATAATTTGACCGTAATTCTGTTTCCTTAAGAGTCAATGGTAGTTTTGCTTTGCCATAGAATTCACTTCTTTTAGTGCTTTATATAGCTGCAGCTCCTTCCAACACAGAACACGTCCTTCATTTAAAAAAAAAAAAAAGTAAAAAAAAAATTCCAAATTAAATATGCAGTTTATTTAGGAACCAGGTCTTAACACAGAGTCACTTTGGGACATTGGATATGTTGTTTTCCTTCAAATCATCTTAAACATTCAAGCTATATGCTTTATGTAAATCATTTAGCATATAAATTTGATTTGGACTAAGAAATAACTGTATAAAAACTGCCAGAATTTTAATGCAAAGTATGCATTATCTTGGCTCTTTATATCAGGATGAAAGAAAACCCACTTTTTAATTATGAATTTAAGTGTTTGGAAAATAATTTTCAGCCTGAAAGACAAGCCAGATTTGTTGTTTTTAAAATTATTTGTGTCCAGGAATTTTTCTGGGAGAACATAGATGGAATTCATAGTAAAATAAATTTAATGTAATTCCATCATTTTTTTGGAAAGCTCACATGACAGAGTCATATCCCATTAATTCGCAGTGATCACTAGAAGGCCAACTGAAAGCTACAGAATAATACAAACTAGAGCCAAAAAATTTAAATGGTTCACTACACAAGACCTCACTTATTTTAAGTTTAAAAAAAAGACATATTGTCTTCCCCATGCTAACTTTGTGCAACAAGTCTAATTTAAATGACCGTATTTTATAAAAATAATTACCTTTTAGGGTTATGAATTCTCACGGTAAAACGCTATGTGTTTATATTTTTTCTGGAACACTTCTGGATGCAGATTCAGACTCTGCTACAAACGCAAAATATTCTGCACTGCAAGGCAATGACTGAAACAAAATTTTTCTTCTAAAGTTGCTGAAAAGTCCAGAGTTCATGAAGACAAATTTGTCTTATTATCATTATTAGTATTTGTCAAGCTATACCTTTTACTCCCTAACTCTACCAAAAAGAAAACCTTGATGAGTGACAGAACTGCAAATCCAATCAAATGCCATGAAAACTGGCCATAATAAACTTTGTTATAGTGAAACTGCACTTAGGGTGCAGCAAAATGAAAATCAGGGAGCACGTTTTTGCTTTTTGACCATGCACGCTGCATTTACAGAGCCACTTGAAACTGCTGACAGCCGAGTTTTTTAGCGGGGGAAGAGAGCCACATTGAATGTCTTAAAAGGTAATAAGAATAATAATAAGGATTTCTGAAGACTCTCACCAGTACAGCTCTCGATAGAGAGCGAGCAGAGAGACCAACAGTAACTTTCGAACATTTAACCTACATTCGGCTACTAGTTAAAAGACAGATGTGGTGTGAAAGGTCTAATTCACGGTTAATAACTTTCCCCTCCTCAAACACATTCAAGGGGGAAAAAAGGAAAAAGAAGAGAATAAAAAGATATAAAGCCCTGCTTAGGCCAACAAGTTGTTAAATTTCTTGAGCAAGGACAATTTTCTAAGTACAATCATTTCCTCCAACAAGGTAACTCATGTAAACACCATCAGGGTCATATTGTTTGTTCTGTGCTGCCAGATGGGGGATATAAACCATGCAGAAACAATTTCAGATTTCCACCCTGATTAGTTCATCTTGAATATTTTCACAGTGTGAATCTGGAAGTCAGAAGTTTATATAATGGTTATAAATTAGGGAGAAATCCTGCTGCCAAGAAAGTCACTCTCAAGCAAACAAACTGTCTCCTTCCTAACATGTTTTAGGTGTTGCTTATCAAACACATTCTCAGCTGTAGGTGGAAAAAGAACTTCTACCCGTCGTCAGTTTTTGGATTGCTGTTTTCCCACCGTGGGCTGTTTAGTCACAGCGATGATTTACCCGCATTGTCCCCATTCCCGTCCCGCTCCCGGTGCCCGGTCGGGGGAGCGGAGCCTTGCGGCAGCCTGCAGCTCCCCCCGGGGGCCAGCGGAGAGCCCGCAGCCTCCCAAAACCCTCGAGGAGCTCTGAGCTGCAGCCATCGGCCAGAGAGAAACTTCACCGAGCAAAAAAATCCCCCCTGCGAGTCCTCGGGTCCTTCACATCGAAGAGTTTTGCTACCAGGCAGTCGAAGAGGTGACCTGCCCTGTATCCCTGAACTCGTCACATCCACGTTGCAGCTTCCTGAGCTTCTTCAGAGCATGGCTTTGGCTGATTTTTGCAGGCATCCCAAAACATAAACCTTAAAAACAGTATTATTTCACAAAATATCAACATAATGCCAGTTCTTATTAGACTCGAGGGTTGCTGTGGTTGAAAGGAAAATAAAAATTGCAGTGTGTCTGTAGAGTGGATAACAAAAACCCGAGTAAGGCTTATGAAAAGGCAACTCTCGAGGCACAGGCAGATGGAGTAGGCAAAAGGTAAAGTTTACACATTCTTTCCAGTTGACTTGGCCAAGTGCTAAAACCAGTAAAGCGCTTGCTTTTATTCAGAAATCAATTTAAAATTTGTCATATGCCAGCTATATAATTGAAATTTCTGGTTATTATATGTACAGGCATAAATTCTGCCTTCTGATACATGCACAAGTTCAACCTCCCTTTAGGATCATCAGGGTTAATGTACATACATGTTAGGGTACAGTTTAATATTATCTCCGTGGAGCAGCAAACAACACTAGGTCAAACAAGCCGGTTTCATTTAATACTAAAGAATGTTTAAGGAGAAATGTCAGAGTTCAGTTCCGCTGGCTAATGATGTAAATCAGGAATCACCAAAGCCAGACACCTATCCTGATCTTATACTCAATTTGTGTTAGGATTGGTCCACTGAAATAAATCAGTTCTTTACCAGGAATTCATCCTACTGACACATGAGAAGTTCATAAACTTTACTCAAATAAGGAAATTATACCATGCAGGTGAGTAAATTTATTTGTGTGGTTTAACTACTTGCTAAAGTTAATTTTTTATTGCTGCTGCTGAAATATTTTCAGCTGAAAATGACTTCCCTTTTAAACAAAGTTTTG